AGAGAGAGTGAGAGAGAGAGGGACAGAGAGAGAGAGAGAGAGAGAGAATTTTAACATTTATTTATTTTTTCTTAGTTCTCGGCGGACACAACATCTTCGTTGGTATGTGGTGCTGAGGATCGAACCCGGGCCGCACGCATGCTAGGCGAGCGCGCTACCGCTTGAGCCACATCCCCAGCCCCACACACATCTTGACTTTTTGTGGCGCTGAGGATGGAACCGAGCGCTTAGCGCTGAGCCACCTCCCCAGCCCTGCGGCCAGCTGAGCAAGACCTGCCTCACACTGTGAAGAGGGCGGCGCGTGGCCAGTGCGGAGCACCTGGGGTCAGTCCCGGGATGGGGAAAAGCGTCCGCAGGGTCCTCTGTGCTTGTGAGGAAAACAGGACGTTCCGCCTGTGGCGGGCAGGGGCAGGGCCCGGGCATCCAGCCACGCTCAGAGCAGCCTCTCGGCCCCGTCACGTCCAGGCGGCCTGTGCGTGGCTCAGAGATTAGGACAGTCCTGCACTGTGGCCCCTGAGGCGGGAGCTGGACTGTCCCGGGATGGGACACACGGGCCACCGGAACTCACTGTCCCATCAGCGAGGGCCGCCAGCCTTTTGGGGGGAATCCCTCTTTAAGGAAACACTGAGCCCCACTGTGCGCCTGGCAGCAGGGAAGGCATTCACAGACCTCAGTTGGTGTGATAGTTTCTTTTTCTTTTTTTTTCTGAATTATGGTTTGGGTCAAATTCTGATTTTTGATTCCTTGGATTTACTTACTTATTTTTCCTTTTTGGTTCAGGGGATGGGACTTGCCGGAGCCACTCCCCAGCCCTGTCTTGTGTTTGGTTTAGAGACAGGGTCTCCCCGAGTTGCTTTCCATCTCGCCATCGCTGAGGCTGGCTTTGAACCGCGATCCTCCTGCCTCAGCCTCCCAAGCCGTGGGCTGACAGGCGGAGCCCACCGTGCCCGCCTCCTTGGGTTATTGCGCGTTTTATAGAGTGAGTTGTAAAACACAGTAAGGGCCGGACATTAAGTGATCAGCTCAGTGAGACGGGATTCCCAGGCCACAGGACTCGCCACTTCACCTCCAGTTCAGGGGTTCACGAGATTGTGCAGCCACCACCTCTGTCTAGTTCCAGAACCTTCCATCACCACAAAAGGCACCCGCCCCACGAGCTTCCCCCAGCCCTGCACCCACAGGTCCACAACTCGTCTTGGACCCCCCTGTCCTGGCATTTTTGTCACTGGGTCACACACTGTGGCCTGGTGTGTCTGCTGTCACCGAACACAAGGTCCTCAGGTCCATCCAGAGTGCACCCTGCTCCTGCTGGTGGCCAGATGGTGCTGGGTGTGCTGGACCTCGCCGGGTGAGCGCCTTCATCAGGGCTTGGTTTGGTGCTGGGTGAAGGCCAGCCTCCGGATGCGCCAGCCCCCGCTCTGCCCTCCTTGTCTCACCTGACGGTGGCGGAGGGCAGGTGCTGCTGCCCAGGGACCCCACCTCGGGGGGACTGGAACTTTGGGAAGGCAGGGACAGGGTCTCTTGCCGTGTTCCTCGTGCCTTGTACACAGTTGGTGCTCCATAAATGCTTTTTGAGCCACTGAGTGAGTGAGTGAGCCAAGTTCCTGAAGCTGCAGCGCGCTGCCTTGGCTCACAATGACATGGGACAGTGGTGAGCAGGGACCAGGGACGCTGGTGCTGGGGAGGGGCCCCAGGGGAGGCTCTGCCTGTGGCTGGTGCGGGCCCCCTGCCTCCTGCAGGAAGGAAGGCCTGGGTTATTTTGGTCCATAGCCCTGTCCCCTGGGAGCGTGGCCACATGCCTGTCTGGTGGTGTGGGGGGACTCTCTAGAACAATGGGTCAGGGAGGAGGAGGGGAGGCCGCGCAGCCGGCTGCCCCAGGTGTGGCAGGTCCAGGGCTGGCCCAGCGGGCCGCGAGGGGAGGCCGCAGCTGCTCTGTCCTCGGCCCCTCTTCCCGTGGGGGGTGCTTCTGGGACCGGCCCCTCCTGATGCCTGCCCACAGCCCAGCTCCCCTCGAACCAACGTCAGACTTGCAGATGGGCCCTCGAGGCCAGAGAAGGGCGGGGCTCCACCCAGGGGCGCACAGCCTCTGAGGTGGGCCTCCTTCCTGGAGGCAGAGGAAGGCCTGTGCCCTCGTCGTCCCTCCAGCCCGGGTTCCGGTCCCGGAGTTTGCTGGCTTCCTGTGCCACGCGCTGTTCCCAGCAGGGAACACAGAACCCAGGCTCTGGGCTTCCCCAGCAGACACCCAGGGCTCCCGGACGTGACTTCCCGGCTGCTGGGGGGGAGGTCCAGGTGGAGGGAGCGGAATGTTCTGGAGAAGCCGGCAGGAGGAGGGCCGGGTGGCCAGCTGAAGCCCCGGCTGCTCTCTCCAGGCGCTGGGCTCTGGCCCCGGGACGCGGCCTTGACCACAGCCTCTGCCCAGGACCAAGCTGTCCCAGTTGTCTGCCTCTTGGGGACGGGGACTGAGACTCAGGGAGTTGTGCGGCGTGCCCCGGAGGCCAGCGGGAGCCGGCCTTCAGTGGCAGGGGACACTCCTGACCTCTAAGCCTGTGGGCATCAGGGAATGCAGGGGGCTGGATTCCGAGGGTCTGAGGCAGCCGGTGGCGTCTCGCTGTGTGGTCCTGGGTGGGCAGCTCAGCCTCTCTGAGCCTGTCCCTTTTCTGGAGGATGGGCCACCAACCCAGCAGCTGGTAGGAATAGTGGCACGGTGCGTGTGGCCGCCACGTGGCACTGGGTCAAGGGCACTGGCCTGGCCTGTGGAGAGCAGGGTCCAGTGAGAGGCGGGGGCAGGGAAGGCCTGGCCTGACCTCTGAGGGCGGCTGCGGCTGGGCCGCCTCCCGGGGCCTGAGTTGGCACAAAGAAGGGCTTTGGGGGACTCCGGGGGGTGGGGCTGCCTGGCATCCTGGCTGGCCCTGGGGTGACGCAGGAGGGGACCCGGGCCCTGGGGGTGGTCTCACGCTGCCCCTCCTCCTGGCTCTTCAGGCAGAAGGTTCTGGAGTCTCTAAGGACACAGTGGAGAAGGGGACCCGCGGGCACCACTGCTCAGGGGAGGGCCTCACCCTCCTGGGGCTCCGGACGGCTTCCTGGGGTGGTCTCCAGGGAGGGGGGTCTCCAGGGAGGGGGGTCTCCAGGGAGGGGGGTGGTCTCCAGGGAGGGGGGGGTCTCCAGGGAGGGGGGTCTCCAGGGAGGGGGGTCTCCAGGGAGGGCGTGGGCCTGGGGAGGTACTCAGGGTCACCCAGGGAGGCGGCAGCCCTGGGCCCGTGGAGCTGCCCGCTGGTCTCCAGCAGAAGGGCGATGCCAGCCCTGCAGCCGGGCCGTTGGGAGCCCCGGGCCGCTGGCACGAAGGACCAGGCAGAGAACGGGGGCACAGAGACCCTGCTCCCCAGCTGCCCGCGCACCTGGCCCTCGCCTGGGCCCTTGCGGGCAGCAGCGGGAAGTGGGAGCTGCTGCAGAGCCCACTGCCTGGAGGCTGCCCGCAGCCTGTTCTGACCCTGCAGCCTCCGAGCTCTCTGTCCAGCTGTCCGTCTGTCTGTCATGGCCCTGCAGGGAGGGGGCTGGGACTAGGGGGCTGCTCACCAGGTCCCTCTCATGGGGCTGCGGGAGGGGACTGGGAGTTGGGGTGGGACAGGGGCCAGGATCCCGCAGCCACTGGCCCTGAGCCCCTCAGCTCACGGCCGGGCGCAGGGGCTTTGGGGGGCTGCAGCGGGCGCTGCGGGCGGCGCACTTAGCAGGCCTCCCGGATCCTCCACTCCGCACCCTTCCTTGACTCCAACGCTCTTACTCTTTTTAAAGCGACAGATGCCCTGTGCCCCCCAGGGTCTGCTGGGGCTGTCTGTCCCCAGCCCTCCCCACCCAGGCGTCCAGAGACGGGCAGGGCAGGGGCACTCGAGGCGGGCGGCTGATGCGTGGTCTGTCTGCCCCAGCAGGGCCCATGGACACCTTCAGCACCAAGAGTCTGGCCCTGCAGGCCCAAAAGAAGGTCCTGAGCAAGATGGCGTCCAAGGCCACGGTGGCCGTGCTCCTGGACGACACCAGCAGCCAGGTGCTGGATGAGCTGTACCGGGCCACCAAGGAGTTCACGCGCAGCCGCAAGGAGGCGCAGAAGGTGGTGAAGAACCTGGTCAAGGTGGTCGTGAAGCTGGGCGTGCTGCTGCGCGCCGGGCAGCTGGGCAGCCGCGAGCTGGAGCTGCTGGGGCGCTTCCGCCAGAGGGCCCGCGGCCTGGCCCTGACCGCGCTCAGCTTCCACCAGGTGGCCTTCACCTTCGACCGGCGCGTGCTGGTGGCCGGGCTGCAGGAGTGCCGTGACCTGCTGCACCAGGCCGCCGGCCCGCACCTGACCGCCAAGTCCCACGGCCGCATCAACCACGTCTTCAGCCACGTGGCCAACTGCGACTTCCTGGCCGCGCTCTACGGCCCGGCCGAGCCCTACCGCTCCCACCTCCGCGGGATCTGCGAGGGCCTCGGCAGGCTGCTGGACGAGGACAGCATCTGACCCCCGGGCGGCGCCCAGGACTCGGCCCGACCCTGTCCCTCTAGCCAAACCTGCTGGGCCACCCTGTCCAGCTCCTGCAGCAGCAGCTCTGAGGACCCGTGGCACCCTCCTCCCCACCCTGTGTGACAGGCAGGCGCCCATCAGGGCCAGGTGCCTCACGCCCAGAGCCACTGCCTGCTCAGGCCACCTGTTGTCCTCCCCCGTTCCATGTCCTGGGCTGACCGCAGGCCACCTGCCTGCTCCCCTCAAACCACTGCGTGGGTTTCCAAAGTAGGGCTTCCCGGTCCTGGTGCTGGACACTGGTCACCCAAGCAGGTCACGGAAGGAAAGGGTGCAAGGGGTCAAACTGTCCCCCAGTCCACGTTCCCCCTGGCCCTGGGAGGGGCCGCCTCTGGAAGGGTGTCCCTGTCAGCACTGTCCCCATATGGGGAACGTGGGCCCAGACGCACAAGCGAGGACATCAGGTGACCGTGGAGGCCGAGCAAGGTGACACTTAAACAAAACAAGGTGCTGAGGACTGCCGGCCACCTCCGGAGGCCAGGACAAAGCGCATCCCCGACTCGGGGTGGGCAAAGCCATGTGAGCGTGTCCTTTAATCATAATTTCATGATGGAAATCAACATTTTCTTTCTGGGACTGCAAGGCTGGGCGCGGCCAGGACAGCGCGGCCACACACAGCAGGCCCAGATCCGTGGTCAGCAGAGGCCTGGCCTGGCCGTGCATAGGTGGGGTGGGGACACCTGCGCTGCCCGCTGGGAGGCCGGGCTGTCTCCACCAGCTGTCGGGTGCCTGGGATGGGCAACCTGGCATTGAGGTGCCCCCAGGCTGGGCGGGCAGGGCTGATGGCACCCGGGGAGTCCGTACCCGCTGTCACCATGGCAGCAGGAGCCGCACAGGGCTCCAGAGCCTCGTCCGGGCACCGTGCCACCCGCGGAGCCCTGTAAGGGACACCTGCTCCTCCAGACCCTGGCTCTCCTGCTGCCCGTGCCGCGGTCAGAGCCAAGTTGAGGGTGGCCCTCGGGGCATGGCTTCCGCTCGCCCACCCAGAGCTTTTGCTGAGAGCAGCTCCTGCCTCTGCCTGCCGAGGGGACCCTCTAACACCAGGGCAGGGGCCCACCCTGGTGTCCGCAAGAAGCCCCAGGCTGAGCTGGACAGGTCATGGTGGGCTGCCCCGCCGTGGCCATGTCTGTGGCCCTGGGTGACGAGCTCCGTTTCTGCCCCACTGGTCACGCGACCTGGGGTTCACTTCAGCTCCACCCGGATGCGCGGCCGTCTGTTTTAGAGGCTGTGGCTGTCCCTGCAAGGGCACCCCGGTCCTGTGTCCTGGGGGTGGCCATCAGCTGTCCTGCACAGGCTGCGGCAGCCCCTGCCCCAGGGTGGAGGGTCACACCCCGAGGCCCTGGGGAGGGACTCTTTAGCACTGCCCCCTGGAGGCCGCTCCTGGGGTCCAGGGACCTCCTCTCAGGAGACCTGCACCGAGACCCTTGCTCTGCGTCTTCCAGGTGTGGGCAGGTGCCCCACGTGCTCGGGCGCAGCACAGGGGGACAGCAGTGTCACCTCCAGGGCTGGCCCAGCACCAGTGTGTGGACACCCTGCGCCAGGGCTGGGCGAGGCCAGAGCTTCATCCACAGGGAGTCGGCTCTGCAGATGCCGTGACGCAGGCAGGCCACGTCCGGCAGGGAGGACCGTAGGTGCCAGGGGCTGTCCACGGGCTCCTTTTATTGGTTTTATTTATTTAAATACAAAAGAAGAGTCTGTCCCTCCCGGCTGTCGGGAGGGTGGTCCTGGAGCCGGGTGCTGGGTGGGGTTCAGAGGGAGCATGTGGCTCCTGTGCCTGGCGGGGCCCCACAGGGACGCAGGCTGGCTCCAGAAGAGCCCTCTGGTTATGGGGACCAGCGCTCTAGCCCTGGGGGCCAGTGTGCGGTGGAGGTGGGGCTCTGTGCCAGCGGCGGGGTCCCCGGGACATGGGGGGGACCAGAGCTCCCTGCAGAGCCAGCACTGGGCCGGGCCCCGGCTCCTCCAGCGGGCGACACCCTGCGCCTGGTGGGCAGTCACAGCTCACTGTGGGCGGCCTTGGCCACGATCACCAGCTTGGACAGCTCAGCCTTGAAGGCCCCGGGCCTGTGGGACACTGCAAGAGACAAGAGCGTCGTCAGACGGCCACATGCCACCCGAGGCCCAGGAACCTGGGGCACTGTGGGGGGGCAGGGAGGCGCATCTGGCAGTGGCCCCACGTGGCAGGCTCCGGGTGGCACCAGGTACGAAGCCAGCCTGGGAGAGCCAGGCAGGAGCAGGTAGGGTGGCCGAGCCGCCAGCTGCTGCCCTCTGTGGCCATGATCATCTTCCAGCACCGCGGACGCTGGCTCTCCCCTTGTCAGTGAGTGCGACGGCTGAGGGGGACCCTCTGTCCCTCCCTGGCTCGGCACCTGCCCTGCACAGCCGAACGTGGCTCGAGGACACCGATGGGCTCAGACCACGGGGAGGACCCCATGCTGCCCGGCTCCCCCGCTGCCCTCAGCCTCCAGCCCGCGGGCGCCTCGGGTGCCCAGCCCTGTTTCCCATGGAGCTCGCCCTGGGCGCCCAGCGGCAGTGACTTTCCACACTCGTGTGCAGCAGGCACTGCGGAGCTGGGCTGCGGCCTGAGCGGGCACAGCCTGTGCACCGAGCGCGGTTAACGTTCTTAAATTGCTTTAAAAAAAATAAAGAGATTTCTTTTGTTCCAAGTTTTGAGACGGGGTCTCACTGTGCTGCCCAGGCTGGCCTCACTCCCAGGCGATCCTCCTGCCTCAGCCTCCTGAGAAGCGGGGACCACAGGAGCTGCATGATGCGCAGCAGGAACAGCAGTGTGGCATGGAGAAGCCACCTCAAGTCCACCTGTCCCTGTCGTCCAGTCTCACTGGCACGTGGCCAACCCACTTGCTGCCACTAGGAGTGCGTCCCTGAGGCTGAGAGGCGTGGGGCTGGGTGTGGCTCAGGGCTAGGCACCTGGCAGCACGCGAGGCCTCGGGTCCCTTTCCAGCACAGGTGGGTCATGCCTCTGAGGATGGGGACCCAGCCCGCCCTGGCTTCGTACCTGGCCCTGCCACTCTCCCCCGTCAGAGCCAAGGCAGAGCCAGCCCTTGGCCTCCAGATCAGCCAAGTGACTCTCTCTTCCAACTGCTCAGGCCCTGTGACAGCGACACGGTGGCACTGACCCTGTGGGCCCAGCATGGGGGAAGCTTCTGTGCTGTGACACTGTCCCCAAGGCTTGGTGACTCACCCCGCCCCTCAGGCCCCCTCTCTGGTCACCCACCTGCTGTTTTGGTGACTTCAAATTCCTCGGTTTTCAGAGGAACGTCGCTTTCTCTTTCAAACGCAGCTTTTGACTGGAAAGGAACAGGGAGACGTTACTAGAAGCCACAAGAGCAGCAGCAGGACGGGCAGTGCCCCGCAGCAGGCAAGGGCCCCCCAGGGGCAGCCGCGGACGTGAGACCTCTCCTGGCCCAAGCCACCAGCATTGGACACAGCGTAATTTTCATAATTTAAAAAATAATTTACGGAAATGATTCTTGCATCATAATCTCTTAAGCGTGATTTTAGAAAATCATAACTGGTGGGCACACTTGCTGGTGGCCACGCCTGTCACCCCAGCGACTGGGGAGGCAAGTCCAAGGCCAGCCTCGGCAACTCAGAGGCCCTAAGAGCTCACTGAGACCCTGTCTCTAAATGAACAATAGTGGCTGGGGCTGCGCCCAGCGGGAGAGCGCTGGCCTAGCTAGCACGTGCGAAGCCCTGGGTTCGACCCTCAGCACCACATAAAAATAAACTAAATAAAGGTTTAAATAACCAATAGAGAGGCTGGCAGGGCGGGGCGGTGGCCCAGTGGTAGGGCACTGGCCTGCATGTGGGAGGCACTGGGTTCGATTCTCAGCACCACATACAAATAAAAATAAAGTTCTATCAACAACTAAAACACATACATTAAAAAATGCCAGACAGGTGAATCATCCGGGAGGCGGCTCACGGGGGGGCGCCCTGGGCGCTGTCCCGGAGGAACGCTTAGCGCACCAGGCCCCGGGTTCCGCTCCCAGGGCTGAAAAAAACTTTAAAGTTAAAAAATCAAAATTATTTCTTTCAAGTCAGCCAAAAGGGAGGCCGTGGGCAGCAGGTCACTTGGAAGGGTCACCCAGCAGGGCATGTGCTGTGGCTGAGGTCTGTCATGCTGACCTAGAGGGCAGGAGACTCCTGGATCCCTGCCAGAACCGGGTGACCAAGGAGGGCCCCAGTGCCCCTGCTGCCTGCCAGGCCTCGGGCACCAGCACCTCCTGGTGGCGCCCCGTGTCCCGGGGGACGGGCAGATGTGAGGAGTTTCCAAACTGTTTCTGACCGGGATTCAAGTGGGGCCCTGGTGGGACCCCAGGGTGTCCACGTGGAGGTCTGCGGCCCGGGGAGCAGCGCGGGGTGCCCCAGGCCGCTCTGCGGCTGCACTCACGTAGGCCATGGCGTACTCGATCTCTGCGCCCCGCACTTCGGCCTGGAACTGCGTGAAGTAGAGGTAGGACTTCCCCTGAGGCCTGCGGAGAAGTGGGAGGTCAGACCAGCCTGGGGCAGCCCGGGCCCTGCGGAGAGCCTGCCAGGACCTGTGCTGGGCTGGGCCTGCCGTGGGCGGTGGTCAGCTGGTTCGGAGCCTGCCACAGGGACACTGTTTCCCGGAATTGCTGACCCCAGGAAGGAAGGGCAGCGTCCGTCCAAACCAGCCTCCTGTGCCGAACACACTGGCCGCTCACCCCTGGCATGAGCCCTCGGGGGCTGGGACGCGCGTGCTCATGGGCTGCACATTCTTGGAGTCCACGCCGTTATTTCAGTGGGGGGCTGTGCGGGGAGGGCGGCGCGTGGCCAGACTCTGCAGCGGGGGCTGCTGCCTGGGTCACAGGAGGTTCAATTGGGGGCACTGGAGGAGCGGCAAGGTCGAAGCAGAGGGGTCACGAGGGGACGGCGGGAGCAGGGAGAGGTGCCCGAGCCCAAGGGGGACGAGGTCCTGGGTGCCGGGCTCCATGAAGCTGTGGGAGTGGACCATGAGAGGGCCCGGGCCCCCGAGGAGCTCCTGGTTGACTTCCTCAGCCTCAATGGCCACTGCCAGGCCCTGAGCAGAGGGTCAAGGTGCGAGGTCTGGGCCAGGCCCACTCAGGTCTGACCGCAGCTGGCAGGCAGCAGGCCCAGTGCCGGAGGAGCCCAGGGGTCAGAAAGGAGGACACGGGCTCAGGCGAGCACCCGGCCCCACCACCGTGGGCCTGCAGAGCTGCATCCAGAGAGGCCGGGCTCGGGGCGTCATGAAGGAGAGGGTCACCACCAAGGGGTCTCCCTGCGCCTGGCCCCTGCATCTGCAGCGCCCCCGGAGGCCGCACCACCAGGTCTCGGCGGGCTGGCGATGGCTCAGCCTGTCCTCCACTTAACAGCCCTCGGCTGCCGCCTGCTCCCCCAGGGCCTGCCGCACAGCTCTGTGGGCCTGCCTGAGCAAGGTGCCCGGGGAGAAGGGCGGGGCCCAGCGCTGAGGCCCCCAGGCCAACCCTGCCTCCCTCCCCCTGTCCCACCACGTCTAGGGTCGCAGGGACACAGCCAGAGCGGGAAGGGACATGGGGCAGGGCTGTCTGATTCCGGAGGCCTGTGGCCTGCGGGTGGTCAGGAACCAGAGGCAGGGTCCAGCTCAGCTGCCTAGGGGACACAGCAGGGCAGGTCCAGGAGGAGCTGAGCACAGGCCCTGCTGGTGCCACTCTGGACAGGCAATGGCTTCCCACGGCCTCGGGCCCCCCATGCCAAAGAACTGCGTCTCCCCCAGGCCCAGAGGCCCAGAGCCCACCCTGCCAAGTGCCAAGTGCCACGCAGGCGCCTCCCCGGTCCTCCTCCAGTGCCCCCTCGGCCCACACCCTGCCTCTCTGCCCCCCAGTCTGCTGGCCTTGAGACCGCCCTGCCTCCTTCTGCTGGACAGGCCAGGGTCCTGCCAGAGCCCTGGGGAACGCTACTCAGCCACGCAGAGGACGGAGGCTGTGACACACGCTGCAGCCGCGGCAGACCTGGGCACTTGTGCTCCGGGAGCCAGAGGCCCAAGGCCACAGTGCGTGACCCAGTGACAGGAGACGTCCAAGACGGGATGAGGCTGTGGGTGCCGGGGGCTGTAGAGGGACAGGCTGGCTATTCATGGGGATAAGGCCGGTTGTGGGTGATAGAATGTTCTGGAACTAGACAGAGACGATGGCTGCACAGCCTCGGGAGCGTCTAACTGTCACGGAGCCCGTTCTTCAGAAGGCTGAATTCTATCTCCGTGGCTCCCTGCCACCCCTGGGCCAGGGGACAGTTTTCAGGAAGCCCTCACAGCGTTCCCCCCAGACCACACCCCCCTGCGCCCTGTGCTCCTCCGGCCTCCTGGACAGCACCTGGCCACGTGGTCAGGGCAGCGGCAGGCCCTGTGCTGGGCGGGGCTCACCTCCAGATGGTGCAGGTGAAGTGCTGGTGGTCCTCGCTGGTGCCCAGACTCATCTGCCACTGCTGCGGGGAGAAGGCGGCACAGGTCACTCACCAGCGACTCCCGATGCCAGGCTGCCCCGCCCCCCGGGCTCTGGTGACTTCCCATCCCAAGGTCTCGCCCCTCCCGAGAACCAGCGCGGTCCAGCCCCTGGGTAAGGGACCACGGAGGACTCGACCCAGGGAGGGCCCAGGCTCTAGGAGGGAAAAGCTGGACGCCCACGAGGCTCCTGCCCGTCGACCACACAGCGCACGGGGACGTCCCGGGCTGGGGCAGCCGGGCTCGAGAGGGCAGAGCGCAGGACCTGGGAGAGGGAGTGGCGGGGGCAGGGAGGCCGCACCGAAGGCACCAGCGACCAGGCGGACCGGGTGCCCGCCTCTCCCTGCGTGACTTCTCTCAAGGAGCAGGAGTCTAGAGACTCTGGAGGGAAAAGGCGGCGCCTGACACTGGTTCCCGGAAGAGTCCAGAGAAAGGGAATAAGACAGGCACCAGGCCGCGCTCCTGGCGCCCCCAGACCCGCGAGCTGCGGTCGGCATGGGCCCTGAAGTCCACCATGAGCCTGGGCACCACGGGGCAGCAGCTGTGGCAGGACACCGGTGACCGGTGACAGAAACCAGCCCAGGCTGGGGCGGGGGCTCAGCAGCAGAGGCTCGCCCAGCATGTGGGAGGCCCTGGGTTGGACTCTGAGCACCGCATATCAATAAAGGAATAAAATAAAGGTCCTTCAACATCTAAAAAACAGTAAAAAACATGCACACTCTGGGCTGGGGTGTGTGAGCGGCAGCGCGCTCGCCTGGCATCGCGGGGCGCTGGGTTCAATCCTCAGCACCACATATAAATAAAATAAAGATGTTGTGGGCTGGGGATGTGGCTCAAGCGGTAGCGCACTCGCCTGGCATGCGTGCGGCCCGGGTTCGATCCTCAGCACCACATACCAACAAAGATGTTGTGTCCGCCGAGAACTAAAAATAAATATTAAAAATTCTCTCTCTCTCTCTCTCTCTCTCTCCTGTCTCACTCTCTCTTTAAAAAACAAAAAAGATGTTGTGTCCACCGAGAACTAAAAAAAATATTTAAAAATTCTCTCTCTCTCTCTTTCTCCAACAAAACAAAACAAAACAACAACAAAAATACACACACACAAAAACCCACTAACCCCAGAAGAATAACCCAGGAACTTCTCACGGCCTCCGGACTCCAGCCAAATGGCGGTGGAAAGCTGCCCTGCGTCCTGGCTGCCTGGCAACCTGGCAGCATGACCCTCGTCCAGTCCGATCACTGGCCCCGGCTTAACACGCAGGTCCTCGTCCCTAGAGGCGAGGCCATGTCTATGTCACCTCCAGCGGGCGCTTTGCCTGGGAGTACAAGTGTGGGGACCACCGCTCCCCGTGAGCAGGGAGCCCCCGGTGCCGCGTTGGCTTATTTTCTAATCAGAAACGCCTGTTTGTGGCCCCGCAGGCTCTGGACACCACGACAGTTGAGCTTGGTGAGGTGCCTGGAGGGGGTCACCCCGGAGGCCCAGGAGGCTTCCCCAGCTCTTTCTTTTTTCAGTGTTTCTTTTGGTCGGACAAATACCTTTGTTTTTATTTATTTTTTTAATGTGGTGCTGAGGGCCGACCCCAGCGAGGGCTCCGCCAAGGAGCCCCGCCCCGCCCAATCCCCCCCCCTTAAAGGTTCCTAAAGGCGAGTCCCCTGAGGGCCAGGCTGAGGCAGGAGGATCACAAGTTCCAGATCAGCCTCAGCAACTCGTGAGGCCGCCCTCAGCACCAACCAGGGAGGGCCGGGGCGGGGGATGCACGACGCGGCGGCTTCCAGGACGGCCACGTCACCCCAAGAGGAGGCCCGTTCCCACGAGCAGTCACCTGTCCCTCCCCAACCTTGCACCATGAATCCACGTCCTGCCTCTGGACTCTCCTGTCCTGGACATTCCCTGTCACTGGAGCCACATACTGTGTGGCCTTTCACATCTGGTTCTCCGCACGAGGTCCTTGAGGGCCATCCACACTAGAGCATGTCACCTCTCTCTTGTTCCTGACTGCATGATACTCCACTGCAGGGAAGTCCCACATCACATGTTCCACTCACTCGCTAATGAACACTCGGTGGCCAGTGCTTCATGGCCACCGCAGGAAGGCTGCTATGAACACTCTTGTGTGGGCCTCAGTCGCTGCTGCGGCTGGCTCGGTCGGCAGGGCTCCTTTATTTATGGGAAACGGCCATGACGTTTTCCAGAGGAGCTCCGCCTGTGACTCTACTTTCTGGTGGCTCCAGATGTCACTGCACTGCAGTGCTGTGAGGACTGTCCCTCTGCCTGGGTCCCTGAGGCCAGCTGGCTGCACCAACCATGGTGAAGGGACACAGATGCTGCCCTCGCCTGTGGCCCACCGGCTCCCACCTCCTCCGGGCCTCGGGCCGCAAGCCTGCCCTTCCAGACAAAGTGCCCGGGCCTCTCCGCAGCCTCAGTGTCCGTCTCCCTGGACACCGCAGGTCATCTCAGAATCCATCCTGGCATTTGCCCGCGAGGCGGCAGGGAGACGGGAAGCCCATGGATCCACCTGTCGGGCAGCAGCCACAGGCACCATCCAGCTTGGGCCGCCAGCCCCCCGCAGCTGTCTGGGGACATTCGTGGCTGTTACAACTCAAGGTTCTCCTGGCCTGGAGTGGGTGGAGGCCACAGACTGCGCCACACCCTGTGGTGCCCGGGAGGCCCACTTAAGAGAGTGGCCAGCCCCGGTGTCCAGGGCACAGAGGGGAGAGGCCTGCCCTTGGCACCGCGTGTGCTTCTCTGATTGGGCAAGCGGAGGCCCGGCCTGCTGGGAGTGCTCCTGCCTCAGCGTCCACCGTCGGGATTCCCAGCAGCGTCCATCTCTAGGCTATGTCCTTACGGCTGCTCTGGAATTAGAGAGCGTTCCCTGAGCCTGGGGGTGGGGAGGGACGTCACCCCAGGGATGCAGGATGCTCTCCCGGGTTCCAGGTAGCAGCTCTGCCTCCTAACATCCTGAGAAGGTGCCCCTCCTCAGACGCTAACTGCTGTCCCTCCAGGGACTCCACCTGGATCACAGGGCACCTCCTCTGACGGGGCCCTTGCTGCACTCACTTCCTGTGGCTGCTGCAACAGATCGCCACACACTTAGTGGCTCACAGCGACAGAAACGGAGGCTCTCACAGTTCTGCAGGCGAAGTCCAAAATCAAGGTGTGGCCAGGGCTGTGCCCCCCCAGCTGCGGGGCTCCAGGTGACCCTTGGCTGGGGCTGCTTCACGCCCGTCTCTGCAGGGCTGTCTCCTCCGTATGCCCCTCTTCCATCAAGCCAATCTCCACTGTGTCCCTCATCAGGACGCTCATATTGGACTGAGGGCCCAACCGGACACCTGGAGGCCGTTTCCATCTTACGGTCCTTCACATAATCACACTGGCCAAGACAGACACTTTCTACATAAGGCCCCACTCATGGGTTCCAAGACTTGGGTACCGACCGACCTTTTGTGGGGACGCCATCCAACCCACTATGCTGATGAACAAGTCACCACAGACTTGGCCTACACCCCCCACTGGGTGCAGACCCCAGGCGCACACGCTCAGCAAGGGCCCTGCCACCCAGCTGCGCTCGGTCCAGTCCTCGTCAACTCTTTATTTTGAAACAGGGCCTACGTGGCTGAGGCTGGCCTGGAACTCGTGGTCCTCCTCCTGGGCCTGCTGGGCAGCTGGGACAACAGTGTGCACCTCTGCCCCGACTCACGCTCATTTACCGCTTCACAGTTCTGCAGATCAGAAGCCAGGACACGGCATGCTGGGCCCTGTTTAGTCTCATGCGGCTGAAACCAATGCAGTGGCCAGGTAGTGTCTCACCTGCTGCTCAGGGTCCTCTTCCACGTTCCCCGGTTGTGGCAGAATTCAATTCCTTGCAGTTGCAGGACTGAAGCCCCATTTCCTTACTCTCAGCTCCCAGAAGCCACCTGTGCTCCTTGCAATGGGGTCCCTTCAAAGTCAGTTAGGGTACACTGTATCCTTCCCACTTAATGAATTTTTCCTTTATTTCCTCTTCCGCTGACAGCTGGAGAGAACAGCCGGCAAGGAATGGAACCTTGTTCCTCCAACTGCAAAGAGCTGAATTCTGCCCATAACCCAACAGGCCTCTAAGAGGACTCTCCCCAGAGCCTGCAGATAAGGGCCAGGAGGGAAACCTTGATTTTGGCTTCACACAGTGTCCAGCTGGGCCAACCCTGACTCTCTACAGACCTGAGAGACAACAAACGGTATTGCCTAAAGTCACTAAATGTGTAGCACTCTGTCATTCAGCACAGAAAAGGAAAGTAGCACCTCTGGTAGAGGCCAATGAGAACGGCAGTCTTGTCTAGAGCTCGCTCGCTCGCTCTGTGGACAAAAGAGCACGATCACCCCTCTATTCAGTGGCTCACCATCGGAGCTCAATGCCGAGACTCATGAAACCCAGCCTCACTGTCCCCTGGAGAGCATCTCCGCATGACAAGGTATATGCACTCCCCAACAACTCACCTCGTTGGTGCCCCCCTGAGAAGCGTAGGTGAACATGCAGGTGAACTTGTCCTAGAGGAGGGAAAGCGGGTTAGTAGGGAGCACAGGTCCCCTCCGAGGAAGTCCCTGGAGGCCAACCCTGACACCCCCAGCAGCTACTGACCGGGCTGCCCTGACCGCCTCTCTTCCTACCCCTGGGTTCCAGGGTCAGCAAACAATCCCCTGATTTCTGGGGAAAGGCCACACTCACTCCAGCAACCATGGGTTTTGGAGGCAAGGGCACGAGGGGCTCCTGGCCAAGCGAAAACTGACTTGGTCCTCTGCGAACGGGGCTGGCGGGACCCCTTATAAGGAGGCACTGGGCACCGTGGACACCGCGGGCACGAGGGGAGGCTGCGGGCCGAGGGGACCCCGACGGGCAGGGGCAGAGCTGGGCCAGGGACGGAGCCGCCTCGCACCTGCGGGACCCGCGGTGACCTCGCGCGGCCCTGCAGGGCCCCTGCCCCTCTGCCTCGGGCCGAGCTCCCACCTCAGAGTCGCGAGGCCAGGACGCCGCGGGCAGGTGACAGGTGGGCCGGGGCTGTAGCCACGCCCCTCGGAGGCGCGGAGCCCCCGAGGCCCCGCCTCCCGCCAGGTCCTCAGTGACCGCCCCCCCCACCGAGGCCGGTGTCCCTCGCCCAGACGGCACCAGCTCGCTCAAACGCCCGGGGCGGCGGTGGCACGTACCCCGGGGCCCACGTTCTGGGAGAAGGAGTGCACGACGCCCCCAGGCCGCACGTCAAACGCCACCGTCATGGGCTCGGACACCGCCTCCGCCGGCCTCAGCGCTACGACCAACAGCAGCGCAGCCCACCAGCCCGCGCTGCCGCCGTCCCTCTTTCCGCTGGGCGCCGCCATCTTGGGATCGGGTCCTCGGCTCAGGGCGGGCGGACGGGACGCGGCGAGGGACACGCGCGGCGCCCGACGCCGGCCACGTCGGCGTCTGCGCCGTCACGTGGCCATACGCCCCGCCCGTTCGCCATCTTGGGGGCGGGGCTTGGGCGTCGGTGTCCCGCGTTCGGCGCTTCCGCTTGGGGCGCGGGACGAGTTGTCGCCCGAGCTGGACGCCTGGTCCCGGTGGCAGCCCAGTCCGCCGGGGACGCAGAGGGAGTGTGCTCGTTTAACAGTGGCCTTGTTTCTGTGTCACTTTAAATGTGTCTCCTGCCTCTGCTTTTAGGTGATGCCACTTAGCACGTCGCCGGCGGCTGTCGCCGTCGTACACAGACACCCTGCGTGTTTCGCTGAGGGTCTGGAGGGGCTGCTCATGTAAAAATGCTGGTTTGGGCTTTTTTTTCCTTTTTTCCGTGGCGCCGTGGAAGGCGGCTTGGGTGGACAGACCTGCAGGAGTCTGTCCTCCTCCGCTCCAGCAGGACGCGAAGGGCACGTGCCCCGACTCAGGAGCACCCCCCCCCCGCACTTACCAGTGACAAAGGGGAAAAGTAAGGTGGTGGTGGCCCCCCGTCACCCAGGGGGCGAAGTTAACATCGCTAATAATGACAGCGACATCACAGACCTGCTGGGACGTGCTGAGAGGGGCACAGTCTGATCTTGAGCTTACCACTGGACAGATGTGAATCAAGGACATTCTACAGAATAACTGACAGGCTCCAGGAGTGTGTCCCATAACAGACTGAGAAACCATCACAGAATGAGACACAGGAGGAAGAGCTGTTCAAAGTCTGATGCAGTCCGTAGGGTGGTGGACGGGACAGGTAGATGGTCACCCCTGGCCTCAGGCACCCCGCTCTCTGCAGCTCCTGAAGAAGCTGCCCCTAGGCGGAGCTGGACTGAGCTGTTGGGGGGCTCCGGACAATTTTTGCAACTTATCTTAGAGCCTGAAATTACTTCAGAATGAACAATGAAAAAGAAAAAAAACCCAAACCCTCCTTTAAGAGTTGACAGGAGGGTTAAGTGAGGGAACGCGGGTGGAATTCCTCTCCCAGACTGGGAGAGCTCTAGTTGCCACTACAGACAGATGCCCATTAGGAAAGGCCAGGCTTTCCCGGCGGCTCGGGAGGCAGACAGGAGGGTTGCAAGTTCAAAGCCAGCCTCAACAACAGCGAGGCACTAAGTAACTGAGACCTTGTCTCTCAATAAAATGTTCAATAGGGCTGGGGATGTGACTCAGTGGTTGTGTGCCTCTGAGTTCAATCCCTGGTACCCTCTCTCCCCACCAAAAAAAAACCCTCTAGGCTTTCATATTGATCTAGAAACATTAAAACAAATTTTTTTCCATTTGTACAGGGATAATGCACTCTACTAAATACGCAATGTTGATGTGGGTTTGATTACAGAAGCTGGTAAAGTATTGTGTAAGTGCTGGCAAAAATAAAAGAAATTCCAGGCTTTCAAGTTTGGAAGGAAGTCATTGTTTTGGTTACAAATTGCCTAAGATGTCAGGAAAACACCAGTGGACAGGTCTGGAGGGTGAGGTATTCCTAGTCCTTCTGGTGATGGAAGAGCGATCCAGGGGAAACTGTCCTCGGTAAATCCCCGAAGCCAGCCCTGCTCACCCTTGGAGGAGCTAAACACTCTTCCCCAGACACGAGGCTGGGGCTAGCATCCTGGAGCTTAGGAGGGTCCTGCCAAAGCCTCCGCAGCTGATGGGAAGGCCAGGCTGGGTGAGTTCCTTCCTCTTGGCCAGGTGGGGAGGTGCACACCTGTCATCCCCGCAGATGTAGTTCAGTGCCCCGGGTTCCATCCCTAGCACCAAAAGAGGAGCGGGCAGGGAGGGAGGGAAATGCCCTCCTCTTGGCCACTGCCTGCTCTGGGCACTAGAAGCTGGACAACCACACTTGTTTTCCTGGGGCGTCTGACACAGCTGGGTTCCACTGACAGATTCCCCATCACCTTGTCACCACCCAGCTTCAGCCTGTCACCATGAAGGATTCAGTTAGTGGCCAAGCTCTGTGGACAGCAGGTATTTCAGCTGTGACTGTGTCTGTAGAAAGACCCCGAGTCCCAAGCAACTTCTGTTCTTCCTTTTTTCTTTCTAACAAACATGAGAAATAAATCACTGTGAAGGGATTAAAAGGTCCCTGTCATCCCAAAGACCTTGCCTTCTAATCCTGACAGTGAGCCCAGCATCCCACAGGAGTGGGTCTGACCTTGTGGACATCTCTTCTGTCCAGGAGCCCTGGAGGGGTGGGTGGACGCACAGGGGTACCGTGTAGGAAGCACTCTTGCTGAGTGCTGGCCATGGGAATCTGTGCAGGTGACAACATGGAGCAGAAGGCAAAGTGCATGTGAAAAGGGGTAAAACCCAAATAAGGCCCGGAGCCAGATCGGGAGCCGGCAGCCTCAGGGAGCCGGATGGGGGCACCCCAGGCTCTTGGTACCACTTTCTCAACTTCCTGTGTGTCTCTCTGGCTTGTCCGTCTTTGGCGGTGCTGGGACGGAACCCAGGGCTCCGTGCATGCCAAGCACAGGCTCTGCCATGAGCCATGCCCCAGCCTACAGCTGTCACGCATGCGCTCTGTGTGCTGTGCTGGGGACAGAACCCAGGGCCTGGCGTGGGCAGGCAAGTGCTGTCCCACTGAGCCACACCCCAGCCGTATTATTACTTTTAAATGTGTCTGAAAGGCAAACGACCCCAGGTGAATACCTGCAGCAGGCTGCGCAGGGAGGGGACCTCTGTCACAGTGTTCCTTGCCAATCAGGAGAGTCCACAAACAAAAGTAACCCAGCCTGGGAGGAGCAGCCCCTGTGGTGACAGGATTCCCCCTGCAGCCAAGAAGACAGTGGGCCTAGCTGCCACCCACTCCCTTCTTTCCCCTTGCATAGTGGCCCTGGACAGGAAGTGACCCACTCAAGACTAACAACACTCCTCATTAAATGAGTGAGGTAGGACAGTTGATGAAAGTGCAGGTCTCCGGCAGCCAGGCCTCCTTGGGCAACCTCAGCAACCCCTTTCCCACCGGCTTGGTCATTCTGTGATCTCTGTGATCTTTAGCCTGTGAGTCGAGTGTGCCCCTAGTTATTCGATTTCGCAATGTTAAGTGAACGACATTTTCTTTTTCTCAACAGAATGGTTTTTTAAGATTCATTGGCTGAGCTTCTTACCATTACAACACACTGAGATTGACATATGTATGACAATGGACTGATTTCCTTCACATATAAAGAGCACCTACAAATCAATGAGGCCCACAGGTCAAATAAAGGTGGACAAAGGACAGAAACAAATGACTACTAGAAAACGGATGTTTTAAAATATGAAAAGATCACCACAGGAAAGAACAATGGAGTTTTACCTAGAGGTGCCACTCGTAAGACTGGCAAAGATGATGCCATTTGGTAACACATTGTATTGGGAGCAGAACAGAGAAGCAGGCACGCTCTGCACCTCTCTTGGGGGGAGGTACTTGAGGGGTTCTCTTTGGGAGGCAGTTTGGTAATAGTCTTCAGATTTATGTAAATGTGCCTTCTTGCCTGTGGTGCTGGGCTGGGCCCGAGGCAAGCTGTCCCCCTGAGCCACAGCCCAGCCCTTATTTTTTGGGACAGGATGTCATTAAGTTAACTGCCTGGGCCTGAGTTTTTGGTTTCTAATTCATTTTTTAGAATTGGGCTTCCCAAAGGACGGAGAGAGGGCCGGGGCAGGCAGTCTGGCCCAGCACTGTAAACCTCAATGCCCAAGCCGCCCCACCAAGGCCTCCCTGGGTCTTAGCTGTTGGGACAGAAACGCAGAGGGCACGGATCTTCCCGCCTGGCCCTTGTGATCCTGTGGACAAGGACAGG